ATATCGAAAGAATTGGTGGAAGGAGGGGGGGGGGAAGGCATTAGAGTGCTCTTAAACAGTTTTTATAGCAAACTGTGTAATGCTTTTCCCAGAAAGTCAGAGTGTTGGCAGATAAGTTTTTGAAATTGGCAAGCTGTCATGCTCTTTCCATGCTCCTCAATTGGCCAGTTTGTCTTAATTCGGCTTAATTGGGCTAGAAATATCTTTGTTTTTTTTATGGTTAATTGAGGGACTAATGAAATCCGGTTATGAGACTGAGGGGAAGGCCTTAAAAACTAGTCGTGACAGTTATGAGACTGATGAGGTCCAGTTGTGGTACTGCGAAACTAACTAGGTCCCGCTGTGACCCCGGGAAGCTGGCCAAGGACATTTGTGGTACTGGAGGGTTGACAGGGATCATTTTTTCTCCTGTTTCTGTTAATTTTTATATATTTTACTAATTTTTACATTATCATCATCATTGCAAGTTCTATTGGGCGAATGAGGAGGGAAAACCCACATGTACTGCTATTTCGTTGATTAATTTTTCATATTTTCGATATATCATCATTATCAATTTCATTGAAAAAGTGACGAGGTCCATTTGTGGTACTAAAAGTCCAGCAGGGTTTAATTGCGGTAAAAATTGGAACAAATGCTGGTCACTGGGCATAAACAACCAAATCTTTTTTACTTTATCTCACTGCTGCAGTTAGCTTTTTCACATCGTTGGAGGATCTCTTTGACGAAAACTGCAACCACTGAAAGAATTGCCGATCATTCCCTTCCCCGATTTGTCTTTCTTTTATGTAGCAAAAGTATTCTGAATCGCTCTAGTAATAGCCATCTTGTCAAAAATTGAGGAAATGGATGGGAAGGGGGGGGGGGAAGGGGGAGAGGGGAGGAGGGGTTGGAGAAAGGCTAAATGAGAGTTATGCATTAGATTGTGGCGCTTTGAAATTACTGGAGCAGAATTACAGGTGCGCGTTGATTTCATCGATGACCCATCGAATCGCTCGATTATTCGTAACGTGAAGGGACCCGTTCGTGAGGGTGATATTTTGACGCTTCTGGAAGCGGAACGAGAAGCACGTCGGCTTCGTTGACATATTTGTTGCATTTCGTTGACACTGTTTTGATGATTAATTTTTCGCAATAAACTTTTGTTATATTCTAGTTTTCAAGCATTCTTGTGTCTTCCCTCGGCTACAGTATTTTTGGAGCATCTTATGCAAACACTGGTCAGACAAAGTTGTGCATTGAATTTTGATCGAAAAGCAGCTCTCGCTAATCACATATTAAAAGCTTCATTAGCAGACCCGTCATTAGTAAAACGCTTTACCCATTTGTGAAGCTGATGCTTAGATAAAGCTGAGAGGGAATAGCCAGAGGCTGCGTAGGTAAAGGCAGAGGTATTCTGTTGATCATTTTGCGCATAAACGTTCACATCAGTTGTATTACAACGGCAATATGCTGTGGTAGCACGTGTATCTGCTCGTCATCTGAATGAAAAGTTCCGCTGATGTGCACTGTTGAAAGCATCAGCCTTT